GAGAGAGAGAGTTTTTTAAAGAAATAGATTCCCATGTTCACCGAGGCAGATTTCAAAAGAGAGAGATGTCGAGTAAGTGTTTCAAAAGATTTGACTTTTTTACGATCCTGAATATCTCTTTATAGTGACCATTTAGTTTGTGTTATGTAAAAAGTAGCAATAATTTTGATAGTGATGCGAAAAAACGAAGTGTCGGACAAACAGGAAATTACACAGCACTTGCACACTGCTAATTGTTTTCATTTTCGCAGACTAAAAGTTTCAGAATTGTTCGGTATTGTTGAATGTTGAATTCACACCTCTGTTACCTTTACTTGCAGCTTGATCTGCGTAATAATTTATGGACTAAGAATCCGGGCTTGGGATGTCAATGGGTTTTGACCAAGTAAATTTTTAATATGATGTCATAATTATGACAATCGCGCTAACTAATTCAGCCGTCATAATCGATTTTGACAAACTCGGAGATGAACGACATAGGCGACGAGTTCTGTGGAAATAGAAGTCAACACTTTGACTGACTACCATATAAGTAATTGTACATTTCTGACCAATCCAATTGTAGTTCTTTCTAACTTCTAACCAACATAAATGTTGTCCAATGCAGTGGTCCAGCGACACTAGTGTACTAGTACTAAAGTGTACTACGAGTAGTGTCCAAACGAGCGCTGGTGACGATCACTGTGACCAGCTACGCCAGAAAAGACATATTTTGCATCTAACTCAACCCTATGCGACAAACTTGATAGTATGTGTTCATTATGGTCCATTCTTCCTCGACGAACAAGTACATAAGTGGCAATTTAGTCAAAGATGAGAAAACTGTACAAGGAATGTGCCTAATATACACATATCGGAAATGCAAGCTGCCACGCAAATTCCCCTTCTGACATCACAAGGGGAATTTCTGTATGCAAATGAGAAGCCTTGTTTTAAAATGCACAAAAATAAAATTGCCCAGGACTAAGTTTGAAACGCATTTTTTCACTTTAAAAAAATTAATATATTATTGATACCAATGAATGATTTTAGGGGAGAAAATAGCAGCCATTTCACAGGCATTTTAATGTAGCATTGTTAGGATTCACTTGAAATTGTCAAAATAACCAGTGATAAGCAATAATTCAACAATTTTATACCTGACATTATAGCAACAAGAAGCATGTTTTCTCTGATCGAGGTTTATGTATGAATGCAGAAACGGCTTAAATGGTTACAGATGTGTTTGTTTGCCATTGAAATACTTGCAAAAGTAGCAATAAATGTAGGACATACATATAGTAAACAAATGAGAAAAAGTTTTCAAGATAAATTATAATATACTCAAGAATATGTACTCGTGTCTTTCTTGAGAATTAAGTTCATGTTCAATTTTAGATTATATGAAAATTTCTGCTAATACGGCAACTCTTCCAAGGGGGATTTGGATTGTATCATGATCCAAATCCTATTTTAAACCTATAAATGTTCCGTTGTGTTT